CCCCCCTTGAATTTTTATGTCCCTGCCAAAGTACGAAGGTAAAAAGACAAAACTAAGTTTGATTGTCAAAGTACAATATACAGATTGTATGGTTCAATCTTTACATCAGGATTTTTTATACGCGCAAAAAAGGGAGGGGGTAACACATAGCACGTCGAATTGTCAAGCTCATGATCACTTTTTTAAAAATAACGTATATTCTTAAGGATTACTTAGTTCAACTATTTGCAAACGATTTTTATTTTCTAATTCATGTAGTTTGTTATTTTAAGAGTGCCTTTCACAACGATACCAGTTATTACAGTGCAGACTGCAGATAAAAGGGATTCTCTGGATTTTTATTTAGTTGCAATTTTTTGGAAAGCTAAACGTCGATTTCTACAATATCTGTTGAAAATCGTAAAATTGCAGGTCAGCTAAACTTACGTTTAACAGTTCAATTAATCCCGATATCCACCATTCTAAAGTTTTCAGCTCTGAGCTGAAAACTTTAGAATAGTGGATATCGAGATTAATGCTTGATCCTCTCTTTTTTTAACCAATCAGAGTCGAGTATAAGAAACCGATAAATTTGAAATTTTGCGCGCCATTTAAGATTAGTATGCAGAAACGGCAGTGACTCTCAAATTTTAAAACACCGGTTTTTGATTTTTCTCTACTATATCAAAGAAAGAACGGTTTAAGAAGAAAATCAAAGTGTGTCTCTTGGATATTCAGATTAAGTAATCGGGATTAAGGATATCTCGTTCTAAAGTTTTCAGCTCTGCATAATTTATTATTTTGCTTGTTAATGCATAAAATAACCTTTTTTTGTGAGCTTTCATCGTTTTCAACGTAAGCCTGCTTTGGTTTTGAAGTTTTTTTTTCAATAGTCTTTATTGAGGGCTTACAGGAGAAATTTAACAATATTTTGAGCAAGCTGAGTGTGACCGTAAAAATTGACAGCAAAAAAAATTAGCGTTTTTTGGATATTAATTTTTACCCCAACATTTTTTATTTGTTTTCTTACCCACAATATCCTAGGTATTCGTCGTAAACTTCGTGCTTGGGCAGTGATACCTAAAAAGGCAAAAATCTAACATTTTGTTATTTTTTCACATTTATTACAACAATGAAATAAGCGAATACATTTTCCAAATTTTCCATGGCGCTTTTTAATTTTATTATATTTAGTATATTTAGTATATTTAGTATATTTAATATATTTAGTATATTTAGTATATTTAGTATATTTAGTATATTTAGTATATTTAGTATATTTAGTATATTTAGTATATTTAGTATATTTAGTATATTTAGTATATTTAGTATATTTAGTATATTTAGTATATTTAGTATATTTAGTATATTTAGTATATTTAGTATATTTAGTATATTTAGTATATTTAGTATATTTAGTATATTTAGTATATTTAGTATATTTAGTATATTTAGTATATTTAGTATATTTAGTATATTTAGTATATTTAGTATATTTAGTATATTTAGTATATTTAGTATATTTAGTATATTTAGTATATTTAGTATATTTAGTATATTTAGTATATTTAGTATATTTAGTATATTTAGTATATTTAGTATATTTAGTATATTTAGTATATTTAGTATATTTAGTATATTTAGTATATTTAGTATATTTAGTATATTCAGTATATTTAGTATATTCAGTATATTTAGTATATTCAGTATATAACAATAAAACTATCTATCTAACGATTTCCCGACCTCTTCGTTCTACTAAGACAAGCAGTAAAATGGCTGTTTCTCGAAATCAAATTTAGATTTTTTTCCTTGAACGCCGACTATACCTGGGGGTCCTCTTCTAGATGAGTTCGTATCCAGTTAATTGTTATAGTTATTTCTGACCTAAAATAATCAATCAATCAATCAATTAATTAAACAATCAATGAAACTATCATCAAACAATCAATTAAACAATGAATTAAACAATCAATTAAACAATCAATTAAAACAATCAATTAATCAACAAATTAATTAACCAATTAAACAATCAATTAAACAATCAATTAATCAATTAAACAATCTATTGATTAATCAATTAAACAATCAATTAAACAATCAATTAAACAGTCAATGAAATTATCATTAAACAATCAATTAAACAATCAATTAAACAATCAATTAAACAATCAATTAAACAGTCAATGAAATTATCATTAAACAATCAATTAAAAAATCAATTAAACAATCAATTAAACAATCAATTAAACAATCTATTAAACTATTATCAAACAATGAATTAAACAATCAATTAAACTATCATCAAACAATGAATTAAACAATGAATTAAACAATGAATTAAACAATGAATTAAACAATCAATTAAACAATGAATTAAACAATGAATTAAACAATCCATTAATCAATCACTCAAACAGTTAATTAATAAATAAATTGATTAATCAAGTATCTTAACAATCAATTAAACAATCTATTGATCAATCAATCAAACAATCAAACAAACAACCAATCAAACAATCAGTCAATTAATCAATTAAAAAATAAATTAATCAATTAATCAATTAAGCTATCATTAAACAATCAATTAAGCTAACATTAGACAATAAATTAAACAATTAATTAAACAATCAATTATCTTAACAATCAATTCAACTGTCTATTGATCAATCAATCAAACAATCAATCATTAAACAATCAATTAATCAATTAAACAATTAATTAAACAATCAATTAAACAATCAATTAAACAATCAATTAAAAAATCAATTAAACAATCGATTAACCTACCTTGATCCTAAAGGGTTAAGAGGTTGTCTAAGGGGGTCTATTTCTGGTCCCTAAAATATACAGAGATAAGAAATCCGTGTAATAGTTTTTATAAAAACTAATTTATCTGTATCGATAAATTAAAGTAGGCAGAATGAAAACAGAAAAATTTTAAGCTGAGTAAAAAAAACTATTAAAATCAAGACTGAATATGAATAATATACACCCCTGCTTGGAAACATAACAAAAAAGAAATATTACTAGCGTAGTTGAGTTCTAATTACCTGGGCCCGCGAGGGAAGTTTAAGGTACAATAGTAGACGTTCTATAGGGTTTAACGACTCGACCTGAACACAATATTTCTTTAATTTAATTTTTAATAGTTTTTTATTCTTTATCCGGGTTAAAGGGACATGGTACACTAATGAAATAATTTCATGACGGATTCACTATTCACATTTACACATTCCTGTTTTAAATTTACAGAAAAACCACACTTCAAAAACATAAATTTTCAACAAAAAAAAAACAAGAATATCTACGTCACTTTTGCTAAGATGAACGGCAGTGCTTTGGATCCAGATCCACAAGATTTTGGCTTCCTAGATCCGGATCCACATACGCGGATCCACGGATCCGGATCCAAAGAGCAAAATATCAGCAATGACAAAAACAATGACAACAACAATGACAGCAAAAATGTTAACAACAATGACAACAACAATGACAACAAAAATCAAAACAATGACAAAAACAATGACAACAATGAGAACACCAATGACAACAATGAGAACACCAATGACAACAACAATACAACAATGTCAACAACAATGACAGCAATGATGACAACAGTAACAGTAACAGTAACAGAAACAGTAACAGTAACAGTAACAGTAACAGTAACAGTAACAGTAACAGTAACAGTAACAGTAACAGTAACAGTAACAGTAACAGTAACAGTAACAGTAACAGTAACAGTAACAGTAACAGTAACAGTAACAGTAACAGTAACAGTAACAGTAACAGTAACAGTAACAGTAACAGTAACAGTAACAGTAACAGTAACAGTAACAGTAACAGTAACAGTAACAGTAACAGTAACAGTAACAGTAACAGTAACAGTAACAGTAACAGTAACAGTAACAGTAACAGTAACAGTAACAGTAACAGTAACAGTAACAGTAACAGTAACAGTAACAGTAACAGTAACAGTAACAGTAACAGTAACAGTAACAGTAACAGTAACAGTAACAGTAACAGTAACAGTAACAGTAACAGTAACAGTAACAGTAACAGTAACAGTAACAGTAACAGTAACAGTAACAGTAACAGTAACAGTAACAGTAACAGTAACAGTAACAGTAACAGTAACAGTAACAGTAACAGTAACAGTAACAGTAACAGTAACAGTAACAGTAACAGTAACAGTAACAGTAACAGTAACAGTAACAGTAACAGTAACAGTAACAGTAACAGTAACAGTAACAGTAACAGTAACAGTAACAGTAACAGTAACAGTAACAGTAACAGTAACAGTAACAGTAACAGTAACAGTAACAGTAACAGTAACAGTAACAGTAACAGTAACAGTAACAGTAACAGTAACAGTAACAGTAACAGTAACAGTAACAGTAACAGTAACAGTAACAGTAACAGTAACAGTAACAGTAACAGTAACAGTAACAGTAACAGTAACAGTAACAGTAACAGTAACAGTAACAGTAACAGTAACAGTAACANTAGTAAAAGATTTGCATACATGTGACGTCATGAGTCTTTATTCCTTACTGAGTTTGCGACAGCTGCTTAACAGCTTATAGAAATCCCCCAATTGTTAATCTAAAAAATCCGCCAAAACCCCAAGTTCAGCTGCTTCTGTACGCTAGTTTGTGCATTTTTCAGGACACATGGGTCTAGTTTACGGGTTGGTAACAAAAAACTACTGAACAATCGAGGATCCAAGGCAGCCTCCAACGGCCTGCACCAGGGCAGCATAATCCGATTTGAACATTTTTTGCAATATTATTTCGCAAAATAATAAAAAAAATCCAAAATTAAAAAGTGAACTTCGATAAAAATACATTTTACTGCTTTTAAAAACTGGAAGAAAGTAGAGGATGGGTGAAATAAACCACCCTGGCTGTGCAATCTATTACAACCTGCACTACCAGCCATAGATACAAAGTGTACGCATTATCCATCCAGGGGGGGGGGCGTCATACTGCTAACCAATCCAGGGGGGAGGAGACTTTAAATAACTTCACAGATGGAATAAGATGATCAATCTGAAACTCGCGATTTACATTTCAGATAAAATATTCAAATGTAAACAAGAAATACAAAAACTTTTTAAAATAATAAAAAAAATGTAAAGCAACGTATGAAATTTAAATGAAGAATCAGTAACAGAAATTAAAAAAATCATAACTGAAATAATGTTTACATAGGTCGTAAAACCAGAAAATAAAGTAAAGCAAAAAGGAATGAAGTGAAAGCACAAAGTAATAACAGCTTAAAGTAACAAGAGAAAGTGCGAGAATACAGCAGGAAAAGAAAGTGAAAATAAAATAAACATGAATAAGCCAAAAAATATAAAGAAGGGATCAACTGGTATTGTAAAAAGGGCCTCTCAGAAAATAAGAAGAATCAAGAAAAAAGACGAAGACAGAATTTCAAAACGAAGTTAATGGAGTGGAAAAGGGAAAAATAAAGAAAAGAAATTAGAGTATAAGATAAATCAGATAAGAGTAAAAAATTGTTAGAATATTAATGTAGAATAATTTCAACAAAAATTATCTATAAAAATACCCGCGAAATATATTTTATTAAATTCTGTGAACTAACAATATAAAAATTTAAAAATTGGACAATTTTAGAAGACATCAGATTATGTGAGAGGATGAAGACTCTAAGAGGGATGGGAAGTAAGTTGCGTTGAANGCAAAAAGGGTTGGGATGAGGGCAACGGCCTCGCAGATTGCAGACTGGCAGCCTCTAAACTGCACATTTTGCATTGATTCCATACGTCTAGAAAAATGAGATTCTCAACGTTATAGAGTACAAATATCATTGTTTTCATCCTTGTCGTAATAATACCCAAAATAGTTTTACATTTGAATACGCCGCCAATCATAAGTTGTGATAAATTTTGAGTGTTGATTTAATACTAAAAAAGAAGAGTTTTCCCGAATTTCAACTTTAAGGGGCAGAGTTACTTACAGGGACTTCCGGGACGACTGTGCGGAATTTCCAATGTATGTTTTCTTCTTTCTTTCTTTGCGCAATCATTAAAGAGATTAGAAATAAGACTTTACTCAAGAATTAATCCTGGAAGCGTCATATTTAAAGAGTTTCGAGTCGTCTCTACAGTCTCATCCTTTGTGGGTAACCCTGTATATTAATCTATTGAATATTAATGGTATATCGAGTGGATATTAAGAAATACGAATAAAAAATTAATTCTGAGGTTTTAACTTTTGAATGTGATGGTGGTGCCAATTTACAATACTTGAAATCAATTGATCCCTCAATTAAGTTATTCCACCACAGGGTATCAAAGAGAAAATATCTTATCTTTCAGAGGACAACAGATACGGATAACTGCTTAATCCACGGATTATTATGTAACAGTTTAATTGGTTTAATTGGTGTGATCATGTTTATATATCACGGGTGTGATAATTTGATAATTTAAAACATCTCTTTTCCGACCTCGGAGCATATTTATAATCTTGATCCAACCCCTAAAAACCATCATTATGACGGGAATTAACCAAAAACGGAAGTTTAGTGGTATTAACACTGACTGTCTGAAAATATGTGATTCAAGATTACCACAATATTTTATTTAGGACAAAAATGGGTATCCTTAACGCAGAAGCTTCTTTCAATATATAGATGCAGATCTTTTTCGAAAAGGAGTTATCAGATTTATAAATTTCGTTGTTACTTTGAATATATTTTTCTAAGAACTTCTCATTCCAATTATATTCCATTAATTTTATTTTACTCACATTTTCTTTACCCAGTTCTATTAATTCTTAATCTCTTTCTTTCCTTAAGTTTTCTAACTTACTTTTTCTTGATCTTTTTTATTCAGGTTTGGGAAAAACTCGGGTTGATCCGAAAACCCAGTCCGGTGGTTTTTCTTTTTTTGGGGTTTTATTGTTTTTTTTTGGGGGGGGGGGGTTTTCGATTTGAAGGTAGTTAAAACCTACTAAAATAAATACTAATTCATAATAAAAAGGCTATTTAAGCAATAGGTAAACTTTATAGTTAAGAATTATAATAATATTGTTGTGATAATCATAATATAAATACTCTTCAAATACAATAACATCACCTCCCTTCTTCATAGGGGGAATACTGCAATTTTTTGATATTATTGTTCTAGAAATTTCAAGGCTACTTTTATTTTCTGATTTGGGAATGGGGCTACGCAGATTAATCGCTAGATAATTATATGCTCAATAAGGAAGACCACTGTGAAATACCGAAAAACTTTAGTTTACTCACAAATAAGAATGATAAAGGAATTTTATATCCTTATTCTATCACAATATATTTGGATTTAAAAAAAAAACAATAAAACCCAACAAAGCCCACTCAAAGTGGGTTTTATTGGGGTGGGTTTTTTAGGTCTAGGTTTTTTTCATGCCAACCCTGGTTTTAATACTTCTGTATTCCCTCCCCTTCTTTTCAATTCAATTAACAATTAATTAATTTTCTTTACCCATGAGACCTGACCAACCTAACTAAATTAAATTCCCATTTTCTTGCCTTCAATATCTATCCATCATTTCTTGATTTTTCGACTTTTCTTTCTCCATTTAACAATTTATTCGAGCGGATTTTGTTTCCTTTTTTATAAGACCCAAAAATAGAAATAATAATTAAATGTCAAATTCTAAAAATTAAGTTGTAATAACATATTGAGTAAATTAAAAAAGTCTTCTTAATAATCTAGCCTACAGGAATATAAATAAAAGTTCAATATCCTATTAAAACGACGTAACAACTCACAAAGCATTCAAATAATAAAAGCTCTAAATTTTCACTGTTGTTTTCAGCTGTATGTCTCCTCCATATTGTTCTTATGTAAGGAATATTTATGTTTCACTTTACTAACGTCAAAAAATATTTCCTCAAACTCCATGCCCATTTTTAAATACTGAAGAACGAATATTTATTCTGTATCAGTAGTGAACTCTTGTAAAGAATATACAATAGTGTTGTAGCTAGGCAGGCAGCAGAGAATAGTATAGGCAGATAGATAGATAGACAACCCAGGCAGTCTGCCTATCCAGTCACGTGTGCGCAATGTCTACTTTGACCTTGGACTTGGGCTGTCACGTGACGTAAACACTGGGTTTCGATTGGTGGGACCGGAAAGGGGAGGAGGGGGGCAAGCGACATTGCATATTCTAGAAATTCTCTTTACCAAAAGAGAAAATTCTTTTTTTGCAACAGGTTTTGCAAACTTTAAGAAAAGGTTTCTAGTGTAGTAATTCTAATTTGCAAATACAAACTTAACGCGTATTTTGCAATTTTTGAATTCATTTAATAAAATGGGAACGATTAGTGGGAAAGAAAGCCATGTTTTTAAGCATTTTTTTATTTATTTTTAATTATTTAAAACAGGGGCGGAGAGGAATTTACACAAAGGAATATTCTTTATGGATAATTTTTACCTCACCCCCTCTCTTGCGCAATCTTTATATTCTCCAGATATTAAGAATTTAGTAAAGCTTTAATTCGCTAAATTGTGAAAAAATATAGTTTTGAGAGGATGGGGATCCCCCCCCCTCCCCCCGAGAAGGGTTAAATTTTGTTAACATATTTCCAAAGAATTACTTATCAATCAACAAAACAAATATCAGAAAATAAAAATTAAATGATCAAAACTTAGTTATTGCAACAAAACCTTATTATTATTATTATCATTATTAATATTTCATAGTTTATAGGTATTGTTAATTCTATTGAGAATAATTCGCAATGACTAATGACTATACAATATAAAAAATGCGGGGTACTTCAAGTTTTAATTTTGGTTTAAACCAATATTGATAGTTACAGAACTAAATTACTGTGAAATTTGTAATCACGCGCTAAAAATATATTAAAATTTATTAAATAAAAAAATGATATATTTTTTGGCATTCCCTTCACGAAGGTTCATATATTAGAATGCCTTGTATATTCTGGGAGGAACTAGTGCATTGGTGGGATTTAATGAGGGAGGGGGTGCAAGGCCGTCATGAGCCCCGCAAAATGGTCTTCAAGCCTCCGTACTGGAGGATGAGTATTTAAAATGACCTTGCGCTACCTCTAAACGTTAAAATAGAAGTAATAAAAAACATTTATAGTTATGTAGTGTTTTCTTGAATAAAAAAAATATAGCAAAACTATAAAAATATTAAATATTTTTTCTAAAATTTGTTTATTTACTTCTATAATACAGGGTGGCCAAAACTTTTTTGAACACATCCGTACAAAAATCCGTACATTTTCAGAAGAAATCCGTACAATCCGTACAATTTTCGAAAAACAACAATCCGTACAATCCGTACATTTTGGCCACCCTGATAATATCTATTCTATATTTTGCGGGGCTCATGGCATCCCTGCACCCTTTCCCTAATTAAAAAAACCCAAGAAATAGTTCAATTAATCGCAATTTAAAAACTCTACCTTGAGCATTAAATTGTGAAAAAACTAACCTAACGTAAAAAATGTCCAAAAAATCAATATTTTTTTACCTGTTCTTAATTGATTTATCTATTCACTCAACTCTCATTCTCTCTGCAAAAATAGACTATAAATGACAAGTTTACATAAAATGTATAATTTAAAGGTACTGTAAGCTTTATTTCAACAATGCCTGATTTACAACGGTACTCTTGACAGCTTTTTCTGATAAAGTTTGAATTAGATATCCATGTTTTTTCTTTATTTAAACTGATTATTTTTTTGCGGTTTGCAAAAATAACTTCTAAATTTTATTTTTATAACTAACAATAGAGAATTTCACAAAAAAAAATTTGTGGGTCAGAAACACAATGGTATCTTCCACATCTTTAATCAGATTAAGATTTCAAGATTGCCATCTTTGCATGAAGGGTCAATAAAAATTACGCTTACATAATTTTTAACCACTGTCAAGGAAGACTAACCCGATTTTTTTAATCGAAAAAAAACCGTTCAAAATGAATTAACGTTTGTTATCTACGATCGGTATTTAAGAAAGTTGTCAATTGCATTATTGCAAGACGGAAGTCATAAAAAAATTCGACTAAAATATAAATCAGCATCAACGTTTACCATAGTAGATTAAATGAAGTAATGTCAAGTAACCCTCCAATTCACAACGGTACCTTTAAAATATAGAATGAATAAGATATCCGAGAATAGGACTCACGAATTTCTTCATACAGAAACAATGAAGGACATTGTGAGAAATAAACGCTTTTCAAGCTAAAAAAAACCAGGATATCTTCTCAATTGTTGAATGGGTATCATTGTGAATCGAGCATGGACCTCTTTAAATGGAGGATCACTTGAAATTACGACTAGAAAATTATTATTTGAATAACCCAGGCTAAGGTCCAACGCTTAATTATGAACCTAAAATAATTAATCATCATTAAACTTAGAAAACAGATGGGAGTAACAATAGTAAGTTGTAAAAAAGTTGTAAAACATAGTCCCCGTTCCATTTTCCTTCAAACATTCTGTAATATTAAGCAAAATATCAACCAACTGCAAAAATATATTTTGCTCTCAAAGGTACAGGATACTGGGTACCTTCAAACATTCTGTAATATTAAGCAAAATATCAACCAACTGCAAAAATATATTTTGCTCTCAAACCTTGATCTACTAGCTCTGAACCCTCTAGTAATAAGTTATAAGAAATATATATACTGGAAGTTATTTATGCGTTTTATTAGAGTCTGACTCACGTCCTCTATAATCCAATATATATTCTTTTGTTAAAAAAAATCAGTAAACCTTAAATAAATCTTCATGACCTGGATCCGGATCCATTTTATCCCAATGCGAATCCAGGATGCGGATCCGGATCCGCATCAAAATGAAATGGAAAAGCACTTAAAATATCAATAATAATAGTTTAAAAAATAATGATGATTTTCCTATAAATTTAGTGTGAGAACCCTTGACCAGAAGGTCGCCATTTTTATTTTTTATTTCACATTCCAGGAAGGCCAGGGTTCGCCCTTTCTTCAATGTTCTCGCCTCGATAAATATTTCCTCGCCGATTTTAGCCGCCTGAGAATCAATGATATCGATAATTAAAATTGGGATATGGAAAAAAGTTATAAAATAGGTAAGTACAAACAGATGGAAACAGGAAGAAGAAAAAATGATATAATATATATATATATATATAACTTATAAATTATTTTAAAAATCAATTGATAAAAATATGATTAACCTGCAACAGCTTTAATTTTTAATACTTGACAAAAATTGAGCTTAAACCGTGAACAGTCACGTACTACAAATACAAAATATCAGGACACGGCTTGTCAAATTTAAAATGTCGTCTTAAAAAATATTACTTCTTAAGTTTGAAAATCTATCAATGAAAGCAGAAAAAATCTGCAAAATAATAAATTACAATTGTTTCTATTTCTAAAAGCTGTTACAAGACACAGAAGGAATTCTGGAAGTCTAATACTGTTCCTGTTGCTGTTCCTTAAGATAGCTGAAGAGAGCTTGAGATAGCTTAAGATATCTTGAGATAGCTTAAGATAGCTTGAGAAAGCTTAAGATAGCTTGAGAAAGCTTAAGATAGCTGAGATAGCAGAAAAGTGTGAAAAAATTCAAATTATTTTCTATTTTTAAAAGTTGTTACAACACAGATGAGGAATTCTGTAAGTCTAATATTTATAACATCACTGTTCCTTGAGATAGCTTAAACTCATATCTACAGATACTCCTGGAAGTCCACCTTAACCAATTAAGTTTTAAAGAAATCAACAAATATATTTATAAAAACAAGTTCTTTAAGGAACAGTAGACGTAATTTTAAGTTTAAAAATAAATATGCCAGATTCACAACGGTACCTTTTAAACCTCTGCCTGAGTGATAACGATTATGAAGTTTTCGTCGTTATTTTTCTGAATTCTCATAATTTCTTTCTCAGCAGCATAAATGTAAAAATAACTTTTCTAGAGAAACCGTAGATAAAAAAAATAGATTTTAGATAACTCCATAATTATTTTGGTTCATACAAAAGTTTGATTTGCACCGTTGTGAATCAGACTTGTCTTTCAATAAGTAGAATGTCTCTAGAAATCAAGTCTATACAGAACCTTTGTCGGAGGATAAAAATTGTAATTCCCGATCATTAGTAACGCAGCGACCTGATCTGATTATATGTTTACAATTACGCAATGTATAGTTTAAATCACGGAACTATATACAGGAATGCCCAACTCAGATATACGCAAATTGTGTACTGTACACTGTGGGAGGAATGTAAACAAACCCAGTGCCCCAACAGAAGTTGAAGGGAAAGGACTAAAGCTCTGATGTGATATTACAGTCCAACAAAAAAAAACAAGTTAATATTTCAAGTTAGAGCGAATACTTATGATTTTTGGCTTTCTGGTCAATATGGAAAATACAATAGGAATATATTCTTATTCCACCCCTTAGGCCCTTTTCCCTCAAAAATGATGTGTTGCCCCTGAATTCTTTGTTTTGATCTCCTCCCACTGCAGTACACAGAATTGACGCATCAGATATGGCGGTTCCTGGTCTATATATTACTTGGTTTAAATTATGAAATGACTTTAAATAATTTGAAAAAATATTTTTCTGAACTCACCTTCATTCGTCATTAAAGCCATTGTTGTTACCGTGTCAACTGGAATCATTTTTCATTCAATAAATTTTAATAGTTTCGAAAATGTTGAATTGAATTCAAGCAAATCTAACGTACATGATTTTAAATCAAAACAAATTATATAAAATTATTTCAAAAAAAATTAAATCTTGAATAAAACTGATTGATAAATGAAGCATTCCCTAAATGTGCAGAAAACCCGCCATGCAATGTTTCTCCCCTGGAATATATTTCTGGATGAAAATGCATATGAAAACAAGAATAAGTAACTATATCATGACGAATCAATGATGTTAGGTATTTAAAGGGACAGTGCCCAAAACACTAGGAAGAACTGAATTCGGACTTTTTCTACATCAGCCAACACGCCAACGGAAGCTATTTTTGACAGACCGAAAAATTAAATTAAACAATTGATAACGGGCACGGAGGGGGGGGGGGGGCA